AATGTCTGGAACCAAACTCCAGTACTAAATAAAACCAGCTCTCCAGTGCCAGCCCTAATTGTTGAATAAATAATAGTTTATTACACACTGGCTTTAAATAAAAATGTTCAACCTTCCTTTCAAACACAAAAGTAATCCTGCATGAAAGTTTGAACGATTCACCCAGGTCTGCAGGAAATTATTTTGAACACGTTCAGACATCTTTGGCATGTGCGTTATGAACGCCGCCGTCTGTTCAGCGTCTCGGCTCTACACGTTCAAATCCTATCAATCAATGTTTGCCGCTCGTCTGAAGGAGGAGGCTGGCAGACTTTCAAAGCGCAGTGGAAATCTTTCCACTTTGCTGCGCTGCCCATATGGCGGGATGTTCTTGTCGGTGTTCAGCGTGTGTAAAAACTCTCTTTCCACTGTTCATTTTTGCTGCCCTGCTGCCTTTCCCTGCAAAGAGACTTCTAATATTTATCGACTCGAGGTTTACATACGTCTGGACTTCAAGGCTCAGAGTTGGAGGGGGAAAAATGGTGCAGTGGCCTTTTCGGCACAAAATATTGCAACTTTCACTCTCTCTTAGAGCTCTTTGCAGAAAAGGGACTGATGCGTAAAATTAACCTTCAGGATGTCCGTGTTTCTCCGACAAGCCTTTTGAGTCGATGCAGTCTGAAAGTCTAATGTAAATAGCAGAAGGTCACCGGAGGCTTTTGTGAATACAAGTGCACTATTCCTTGAAGATAAAAACACAAGACATCTGCTGAAGAAAAGACTGGTGTCATAATGAAGCATTATTAGGCTTAATGGGTTAAGTTAATGGGTGTAATTAAAGCTATTAAATTAAAAGAACGAAGAAGATATCAAAGCCATTTAGCAGGAACAAAGGTTTAATAGGTTTAGTCTGATAAAATAGGAAAAACGTCTCTATTCATCTAACAGGTCACTCTGGCAGGACTAATTTTTTTGTAAAAGTTCAAACTTTTTGATGATACTCAACATGAAATCCACTTGATTTGATAACGTGACATTTCCAAGTGTTTTTTTTTTAATGCCAGATTTCATTACACAATGGGACCAAATGTGAATTGGTCCGTACAAATGTACAGTATTGATTCAAAATTCATTTTTGTGGCATAAAATTTGCACTGTACAGTACACTAAATGTTATTAGACTGCAAACTCAACACACATTATAGTTCAGCCGTGTAATATAGACACTTAAAAACGCAGCTGTTCTTTTTAATAGTCAACTTATTTCGGATCATCGTCCTAAAAGCTCTGTAAACACTGCCACAGACACGAAGATATATCTTTCATTTCATCACGTTGCATGCTCACTAAAAATCGACGCAGTCATCACGTTTTCAGACCATTTCAAGTTTTATTTTGACGTAATAAAATCATCTCTCTCCAGAATACCCCTTCCATTTCCCACATCATCCTTTATGGCTCTCATTTAGACATCAGCTCCTCTTTTTCTGGCACACACACACACACACACACACATACAACCTCTTAATGAATTACTGCATGAGTCAAATATATACATATATATATTATATATCAATGGTGTGCGGTGGTGTTTTAAAATGAGGAGGCTGTTTTATATATAAATATATATTTATATATAAATATTACATAAAAAAGAGAACAAATATAATTCTATTTTGTATTTTATTAATATTAACTTTATAATTAGTCAATAACGCCATCATTTTCTTCATTCAGACCGAGAGCTCGCACGAAAACAAGAGGCGGGATTTATCACACGAACCAATCACATCCAATCATAACCGATCATATCCAATTATAGCGAGACGGAGGCATTGCCTCCTCTCACGTGACTTTCCCCCATTCATCTCAATGAGCCTCCAGAAAAGTCACCGCACACTTTGGGGTCTCTGTTGTAAGTCTATGGACCGAAGGGAGGCAAGCCTCCGCTGTAACTCTACCTGTGGGTGTCGCTGTTGGACAGTGTTACTTTATAAAAACGAGTGACTTTTAGACTTTTAATGTCATATTTAGTCATATTTGCGTTGTTTTATTTTTGTAATATCGATTATTTTCTCATCCACTTTTGAGGAGAGGAGACACTGCCTCCCTTGCCTCCTCGGAGG